TTTTTTTTGCAATTCTTCAGTTGCATAATACTGAAATCTTAAGTAATATTTCCAGTTGAATTATTTTTTTTTCCTGGTGGTTTTTTAAAAAAATTATTAATAGAGCTGTCCTACTGTTTTAGAACTTCTATATTAAAAGTCAAGTATGAGTTTGGGTATATTAATCTATAGTAATATTAATATTTAATAAAATTAAATGTTACCATATTTAAAAGCATGGTGTGTTGCAACATTATATTGAAACCTAACATATTTTTGTGGCAATTGTGACTTATGTCACCATAAATGATTTAGTCTTTGAAGAGCTGAAACACTCTTGCAACTAGCTATTGGATATGTGTATTAATAAAAGATTTTATTTTTTCACAACCAGCAGATGGTGCTAAATAACTACATATAATGCTTGTATCATATATGCCATGTTCAGCTTTTCCTGTACTTGGTGGGTCTCTTTGATCACACAAATTAAGCAAGTAAAAAGTATGACCTATTTTTACTAGGCTGAAGTTATTAAATGATGCGTATGCTTAATAAGGAATATTGAATTCCCATATTAGAATGGAATTCTAGCTTATGCTTTGTTATGTTTATCTTATGTTTCTTCCATTAATGTTCAGTTATTGTATTGTTAACAAACATTTATGGATAATTGTGGGTTTTATGACAATAAAGATTTGAGGATATGGCCAGATGTGTAGATCTAAATCTAGCTCTCAGCCATTTTGTTGTGGAAAGAACAGTCTCTTTCATATCACTCTTGACTTCCAGAGTCTTTTAGATTCATTTTCATATTATAGTAGATTCTCTTTTAGTGAATGATACAATTTCACTTTTTAAAAAATTCCTAATGCATTCCCATTCTGATAATTGGTATTCTCTTTGCATTACAAAAAGTTTTTTTTCTCGAGTTTGACAAAAGGTAGATTAATTTTAAACTCCCACAACTTTCAAAATGCCCTGAAAGTTAGTAGTAAAATCATGAAAAATATAGCTACCTCAAAGTTACAGTTTACTGTTGTGTAACCACTTGAAAAATATATGACCTGAAAAACTGTATCATTACTGTAATGTAAAAGTTTCATTGTATAGTACAAAAATATTGTCTTATAGTACAAAAAACATACCGGTAACTTATTTTGGAGGGGGTTTTGCACATCTTAACATTGTAGCCTTTGGCATCTTTTGCTAAGAGAAGAATTAAGATTTTTGAATAATAACAGGATTTCTGTTGCAAATATGTCTAATAATGTATCTTGCAGCTTTAGAGAGTCCACCTGCCTGCTTTATCATTTAAAATATTTATCGCTTTCAGTTTTTGTCAGCATCAACCTTGAAATTAGACACGAGCTACCAGTAAAACTTACAGAACATGAGATTAAACATGGGTTGGAGGTTTTCATTTGATGACCTCAAAAATCTAAAAGACAAACATGACTCTTTGGAATTGAAGGTTAATTTAGAAGTAAGATGTGATTCACTTTACTGTATAGGTAGAGGAGTTAAAATTTTCTCTCTATTTTCCTTAATCTGGATTCTTCTATAAAGCTGTTGCAAATTTCCCTATACTTGCAGGATTTTAGCCAATCTAGTAGCTAGAACTCCCCCCTCTCCCCTCCTTTTTATAGTGGTTGATAGAAACCTAATAAAGCACACATTTATTCCACTTTTGCCTTACAGAAAAGCGAAACAACCTCAGTAAAGAGTTTGTCTTCAACAAAATAGTGCTGTAAAATAAAGAAGTAGTTCTTTATGTAAGTCTGTCCATTTCAGCACAGTCCAGTATTTTCTTGATTATCTCTTCGTCCAATGGTATTTCTTTATTTTTCCAGTGCTGGGCAAATACAATCCTCGCTGCTGTTAATACATGTAATGTTAAATATACACTCTGTTTATCATTTTTTTCTGGAATGATACCTAATAAAAAAAGTTCAGGTTTAAAGTCTACGTGTTTCCCTAACATTTTTTCTAACCAGATGTGTATTTTTGTCCAATTTTGTTTGCTTTAATACATGTCCACCACAGGTGATAGTATGTACAAGGTTTTTGATTACATTTCCAACATTTATTAGACATATTTTTAAACATTTTTGCTAATCTGGCAAGTGGTAAATGCCATCTATAAAACATTTTATATAAATTTTCTTTATACAAAGTTGCCATTGTCAATTTATAGTTTCTTTCCCATAGATTTTGCCATTTCTCTAATTCTATATTGTAGCCAAAAAACGTTGCCCGTATTATTTATTTATTTATTTATGAGACTTATATACCGCTTTAAGTGCAAGCACTCTCTAAGTGGTGTACACCAGTAAGCAATGTATATATATATTTACATTGCCCCCAACAATCTGGGTCCTCATTTTACCTACCTCGGAAGGATGGAAGGCTGAGTCAACCTTGAGCTGGTGAGATTTGAACCGCTGACCTGCTGAACACAGTCAGCTAAAGTGGCCTGCAGTACTGCACTCTAACTGCTGCACCACCTCGGCTCTTATTATTGTTTCTTTCACTTGTTCATCTTCCATTTTCAAATTCAATAAAAAGTTATACAATTTCTTAATCAGTTTTTCATCAGAGGTCAACAACATCTGATCAAACATTGTCTGGTCTTTATAAAAATCATATATTTTAACATCTTTATCACATCTTGATTGCATTTGCAGTCGAGGCCACCATGATAAATCAATTCCCTGATCTTCCAACTCTTGTTTAGATCTTAATTTCCCATTTGTATTCAGAATATCCTTATATGTTAAGATTTTTTCAAATTTAACTAAGTTTGGGTGTACAAATGCTTCCATTGTTGATAGCCAATCTGGGATTTTCGTATAGATTTTTGGTTTTATTTTTTCCCATATAAATAGTACATTTCTTATATAGTGGTTTTGGAAATATCTATGGATTTTATTCTTTTCATACCATAGAAATGTGTGCTATCCAAGTTGCAAGCCATGTCCTTCTAAATATAACAATCTTTTATTTCTGAGAGTTATCCATTCTTTTAGCCATGTTATAGCACATGCTTGGTAGTATAAGACCAATCCGATAGTCCAAATCCTTCATTTTCTTTAGCTTCTTGTACCATTTTCAGTTTAATTCTAGCTTTCCTTCCTTGCCAAATGAATTTCAAGATCAGTGTATTCAGATCATCAAAAAACTTTTTCTCTATTTTTATAGGTACTGTTTGGATTAGAAAGAGGAGTTTTGGTAAAATATTCATTTTCACAGTAGCTATTCTTCCTAACACTGATAGTTGTAAATTTTCCCATTTTTCCAAATCTAATTTTATTTGATTTGATAATTTTATATAATTATCTTCTTTTATCCTTGCACATCTTGCTGTTAAGTATATTCTCAAATATTTAACTTTCTTAGCTATTTGGAAGTGTATTTTTTCTGACAGTTTTTTTTTTTGCTTATCTGTAAGGTTTTTAACAGTTGTTTTCTCTGTTTAATTTCAATCCTGCTATTTCTCCAAATTCTTCTATCCTTTTCAATAATTTAGAAGATATTTGATCTTGGATAGATCTTTGTTTCTGGAATATTATTAATGTGTCATAGAAAAAACTATTTTAGAAGATTAGTGATATGTGTACAGCTATAGCTGCTTTTGCTACAGATTAAAAATAATATGGAATAGGCATTGCCTCAATTCTTATTTAAAAATATATTGAAGTGTGTTCATACATATAGTATGTCAAATTTGCTTACTAAATTTTTATCTGGAGATATCTGTCAAATTTATTTTCTCTCTATCATTCAGCTTAATTCTGTTATGCCTACAATGTTGGTATATATCTCTTCAGAAATGATAGTATGGGAGGAGTTGTGGTTACTTAGCAGTTTAATATACCTAATTTTCTGTAACAGCGATGTCACTTTATCTGATTTAAGCAAATGGATTTTATTTCCAACTAAACAGAAAGTAGGTTATATTGTGAGGATGCATATGGTCCTTCATTTCTGCTCAACCAGCTTTTGTTTATTAAAAGGATCAAACCAGGAATGTCAAAGTATGTGTAAATATAGAATTTCTGGTGTACCAGAGAAAAGCATGCAAATTCTTCTTTTCATTTTTCAGATAGCACACTTTTTCATGATGACCAATTTGGATAAAAAATGGTTAATTTTAAATGCAAAACTAAGGTATACTTTCTGAATCTGAATCCTGTCAGGAGTTTATCAGCTATTACCAGAATTAGTTAGCATGGCTGATGGTTAAATATAGATCAAATCACCGGAGGGACTCAAATTGGAGAAAGATGAATTTAGGAAACCAGTAAATTTAAATCATGTTTTCTAATTCTGGATTATTGTCATAAACCATAAAAAATGAAGCACAATTCCAAGTTTGCAAATAATAAACAGTTGAAAATCAGAGCGGAAACATCCAATTCCTCAAAACTGTGCTAGAAGGCAGTTCAGCATTTATCGCTAAAATGAATTTGGCTAATGACCTGGTTAGAATTGTTTTGTCAGAATCATTAGGGTAACTACCACTGGCAGCAGCCATCATGCTAGATATGTGAGCATTTGATCTTTGGACCATTGTGAAAGTATTTGGTGTAAATAGGATGTTATTTGATCTTTTTCTGTAACTTGATTTCCAAAATTATGACTCCATTCTGCGCAATGATTATGTACTGGACTACCAGGAACATTAAATAGTTTATAATGCAGGCTATTTGTTTTAAAACTTTATGCAAAGTGTTGTATTGTTAATCTATTTGAGATGGGATTGCACAGTTTAGCAGGTTGTTTTTTCCACTTGCAGAGCATAGCCTGATGGGGAATGTGATGACATAATAACTACAAGGAATGGAGTTTAAGCATTCATTGTTTCAGAATTTAGGAGGATTTTTAAATAAATAAAATTAATGGGCTAAGTTTGATTTGTTTATCATTGTTAGGGGTTCTAGGCACCACAAAACAAGTCATAATGTTCTGTTATAATTCTTGCAGTGCAGATTATTACTGTTATCCTGCTCTCTACTTTTTAGGCACTATCCCATTGGTTTACTATTTGATCTTCATGCTTCAAATGCAACCCTTCCATGGAATATCACAGTACATTTTAAGGTATAGCAATATATCTCTTTAATATATATTTCAAAATGATATATTAGAAGCAGGATTTATGCCTTAATTTCTGGAATGAAAGGGAAATGGTAAATATCAACAGATAACAAGTAAAGGACTTGTATTTTATTATTTGTTTTCAGAGTAGTAGTATTTGGTGTAGTATGTTTTAATACGCTCCAATCTATCAGTTTAAAAAACGTAGCTGTAATATCATTGGGGGGACTGAAAAGAACTGTAAAAATATTGAAATTTCTGTTAAAAATGCCTACTCACTTTCATGCATAATAGCAATAACAATAGAAGCAATATAGCACTTAGACTTACATACCGCTCCATAGGGCTTTACAGCAGTGGTCCCAAAGCTTTCCAGCTCTGCGGACTGATGGGAGTGGCAATGTTAGGTAGGAGAGGGGGTGATTTTGCACAAGCGGGTGCATGTGCGTCCACTACTTGCACAAATGGAATTTCACATGCTCGCCCGCTCACCCAATGCTTGCGTGGTCTGGTTCCCAATGGGTTGAGGCCTGGGGGTGACCCCTGCTTTACAGCGCTCTCTGAGCAGTTTACAATGTCAGCATATTGCCCCAACAATCTGCGTTGTCATTTTACCGACCTTGGAAGGATGGAAGGCTGAGTCAACCTTGAGCCCATCAGGCTCGAATTCCAGGCTGTAGGCAGAATTAGCCTGCAATACTCCATTCTAACCACTGTACCACATACATGTGGTTAATATACTACGAGCAATAATAAGCCATAGTCCTGCATATTGACTTTAAAATTTGGCTCACCAATGAGTGCGTAGATCATTAATAATTCTTCCTTGTTGGAAACTAGTTGCTGTGATCCAGTGTGTTTATTGCTGAGCTGTAAGTTTGGTAAAGTACAATATCTTTCCCTCATTAAACATATTTTGTCTTAATATGTTGTCAAATGTTCACTTTCCTAATACAAAATTTTGCCCAAAATTTTCATTTACAAACCAGACAGTTGTTAAGTAAGTTTTGCCCCATTTTACAACATTTCTTGCCACAGTTGTTAAGTGAATCTGGCTTTGCTTGTCAGACGTTAAAATGCCTATGTAGATACTCAATCAACCAAGGTCATGGTTGTCCCAAAGATGCTTTTTCCAAAAGGCAACTGATCTTTCTCATTTTTTTTTCTTTGAAAATGTTTCGCTTCTCATTCAAGAAGCTTCTTCAGTTCAATTCTTTAGATGTGAAGAAACATCTTGGAAGAGAAGCAAAAACATTTTCCAAATACAAACAAACAAACAAGAAAATCCAGTTGCCTTTTGGAAAAAGCACCTTTGGGTCAATTGTCAGAAGGTTTCAGAAGGTGATCACTTGGCCCTAGGATATTGCAACCTTCATAAACACATGTCAGTTGCTAGGTGTCCAAATTTTGATTATGTGACCATGGAAATGCTTCAGTAATTGTCAGTGTGAAAAATGGTCATAAGTCATTTTTTTTCAGTGCTGTTGTAACTTTCAACAGTCATTAAACAAATGGTTGTAAGTTGAGGGCTACCTATAATGTTCTTTGCTTTGCTCCTCTAAACTACTTTTGAGTATTTTTTAAATTTTGAATTACAATGTTATATTTTTAGAACTTTCCAGAAAAAGATCTTTTGCATTGCTCCTCTAAGGAAGTAATTGAAGCTCATTTCATGGCTTGCATAAAAGAAGCAGATGCCTTAAAGCATAAGAGTCAAGTAATCAATGAAATGCAAAAAAAGGATCATAAGCAACTTTGGATGGGGCTGCAAAATGGTAAGAGCCACTTTTAAGTGAAGTATGGTATATTCAGTCATTCAATAAACTTTTGGGCTAAGGTATTATTGTAAGGCATTTCCAGTTTCTACTTGTACTTCAGGAATTCAAGAAATTGGAATGTAAGATACTGTATACGTTGTATACTCGTTCTAATAAGTTATTGAGACATAATTCAATCTTGTTTGTTAAGATCATTTTATAACAATTGATCCACAGGTTAACAGTTGCTATCCTTTGTCACCTTTTGATTTAGAAGTGGTAGATCATGGCAAACTAACTTTGCATCCATAATATCAAAATGCCAATCAAATAGTAAAATGTTGATAGATCTAGTAAAAATCAAACTCGCAAAGCACAATAGCTTATATGGTACGGGGGGGGGGGAATCTCTTTTTTAATTGAGAGCTTTATTCAGTTGTTTATTTATTGAGAGTCGTTGAGTTGGGCTCCGTACAAGTTATGATAATTTCTCCTGGTGCCAGAAAAAGGAGATAATAGTAAGAGGAGAGAAAAAGTCAGAAGTAGGTACTGTATATGTGGCTTCACAGGTCCAATTGAAGGACAGGCTAGTTACAGCATAGTTGCAAACTATAGTAGTCTACAGGTAGTGTTTGACTTACGATTATTTGCTTAGTGACTGTTCGAAATTATGTTGGTGCTGAAAAAATTGACTTTTGATTGGTCCCATGACCGCCGCAGAATCCCTGAAGTTACATGATCAGAATTAGGGCACTTGGCAACCAACAAGGTGCAGTCTCCCCAGGGTCATACAATCTCCATTTGCAACCTTCCTGGTTGGCTTTTGACAAACAAAGTCAATGGGTGAAGCTGCATTTGCTTAACAACCACAGCAAAAAAGGTAGTAAAACTGTGCACAGTCATGTGATGACTCGTGATGACTGCTTTGCTTAGCGATGGAAGTTATGGTCCCAACTGTGATCGTAAGTCGAGGACTACCTATACAATGTTTTGTGTTGCAGTGATCTGAACAACTCATCTCTGTTATCTGGAGTTGGAGTGGTTTGCAGTAACTTGGTGGTGGGTTGCTGACATGAGTAAGAATAACTGATAGTACTGATTGCTTGAAGCAACAATAAGTCACACCAGATTGCAGAGGACAGGGAACAATGAAAGCAGGGTAAGGAGAGAGACCTTATCAATCAATAGTCCTGTTTTTTTGATAATGGTCTAGGGGTGCTGTTTCTTATAAAACTGTTTCTTATATAGTCTTATATAAGACTATCCAACCATGCATTATTTAATTTATTTTCATTTCTGCAGTATTAGAATAGTTAGAATCATGAGTAGTTTAGTTTTTTAAATGCTGTGTGGAAAGAGGACACTTGAAAATATTAATAATTAAAAAGTGAGTTTAACTGTTTAGGGTTTCACTGCTAGCATTGTTTAATCAGTTTCTCTTAAGATTTTTGACATTCAAGATTTGGAGCAGAAGTGTTGGTTGGCTTGTTTGGGAGAACGTTTTGATAATCCAAGATAAGAGGTTGCCTAAAAATGTTGGTTGTATTAGGTTTCAATGTGTGTCACTGGAAACTGCACCTGTAGAACCTGACAGATAATATTTTGAAAACTTTCAAAGGCTAATTTTGTATTTGAGCCATTAGTAAAAGAGAAATAAGAAAAAAATTACGAAACCAAGATAACTTTTTAAAATACATGCGGCATCTTTCACTATGGCTTTCATTATATACGGGATGATGTTAAACTCCTCTGTGAAACAATATTCATGACCACAAAAAAGAAAAGAAAGTAGCAGTTGTTACAACTGCCTGATGGTTGATGATACATCTGCAAGTTGCTTTTTCTATGAAACATTGTGCATTTGTCTTTCTACCTATAAATGTTCTGGTATAACTCTTTGCTTGACACAAAGAAGCCTCTAAAACTCTTTTTTATTTTGCCATTTTTCTCAATTTGTAGAGAAATTCATGTAAATGGTAGGAGTTTACACAACGATTGATGTAAGAAGAGTGAAATAGCACTTCATGATAATCACTTTGTTAATTTACTGTTCTGTTAGAGTAAAATGTGGATGACATTAAAAACAAAAGGATGAGAGAAATATTTAGAAAGTTCACCCTTGATAATAGAAATACCTACTACATCTATGTATTCTAAATTCTGTGTTGAAATATGTTTCTTTCTGTTGAAACTGCCTATTTAAGTGTTTTATTTGTATATCTTGAGCAAACTGGTTATATAATGAAACTGAGCTTCAATCCTTTTTGTATTTCCCTGGCAATAAGCTCTCTGGAAATTATATCTGAGTGAAATTTGCTGTATTGCATTTCTTCTCATTCAACAGATATCAATAAACTGATACCAATAGAGAAGATACCAATAAATTGAACTGGGACTATTATCAAATTTTTTGATTTATAATAAAATGGGTCCTATATCAGTAGAAAGATCAGCACCAGATATGTGGTGCTTGGTATTTAAGTTTTTAAAAATGTAAATGTATGTCAAAGCCATAACATTACAGTGCAAAAGGATAAAGGGTGGTGAGATGGAGGCTTAGCTCCAGTTGCCTATTGCTTCACTCTGCATTTTGTTCCCTGGGATTCTTTTTGCCTACCAAAAATATTATTAGTAGAAATCATTCTTGTAAGGGAAATGTAACTATCAGAGAAAAATAAAAATAAAAATGCTATTCAGCATTACCCCACACAGCTTTTTTCCCCACTTTAGATAGGTTATGGGCAAATTCAAATTTAAACACTTATTTAGACTTGATGTTTTTAAGTTCAATTATAAAACTTTAAAGTGCCTGGAAAAATATTAAGCCAGAATGATAGTAAAATAACATTAGCTAATGTTTTAAATGACAGGATTACACGATTAGGAGGCCAATACTCATGAGGTCTAATCTTTAATTCTTAACTATCTACAAAATGTGGACATGTCTGGAAATGTTATTGAACAAATCAATAGGTCTACATGATGTAACTTAGGTTTATTTATCAAAAGCGATTAAGGCCATGGAGACAAGTAGTCTCATTTTTTTTTAATCAAGAGGCAATCTATCTTGTCTCAGTGAAACTGTTTAGGTGACCTCAATCTACTCTGGGCTGGTGCTGCAGGAGAAGACTCTTTCCACAATTTTGATGAGATTGCTTCATTGATTAGATTGCCTAGAGTGTTTCCACTCTAAGCTGCTTCTCCTCTGCCTAGAACATGTCCTGAAACTGCCTGTTGTAAAAAAAAACTTCATTTCATAAGTGCAAAAGTGTTGTAAGAGAGTGGGATCCCACCTACCTCCCCAACAGATAAAAGCTAAAGCTTCTCACCAAAACGTATAAATAAGTGGCACTATAAACTTGCCTCCCATGAGATTTGCTGGCCAGGAGTTTTGGCTCAATGGTACTGGGGAGACACAAAGTTTGGGATAACTGCCTTGCCTGCCCTTCATCTGTTGGCAAATTTCTAGGAGCTCTTCAGGCAGGTTGTCAACTGTGGAAACTGAGGCAATTTTGCGCTCCCAAACTTTCTTTTTATTTCTCACTTTCCTATCCAAATAGAAAAAAAAATGTACATTTTAATGCAAATATGGTATCACAAAATGTAGCATATTAACTAGCTATTCAATAAGTAAATTGATCCCAATCAACTTATTTTGAAGTGTGTGATCATTTACATATTTTATCTGCAGCAATAGACTAGGACCACCATATTAAACTTATTTGTGAAAAAGTCTCTGGTTTTCTAACTGGTCTTAATATACTTTAATATACGGTATTTGATTGCTAAAAAATAATTCATTCTAAAAAATTCAACATGATCCTTCCATAAGAATATGGATGTTATCAGTGGTGGGATTCAGCCAGTTCGTATCAGTTCGGCAGAACCGGTAGCTAATTTTTTGTTGCCCAGGCCCAGAATGGATTTCCGGAAGCGGCACCCACACAGAGAACCGGTTGTTCACATATTTAAATCCCACCACTGGATGTAATGTGAAATAAATGAAACTATAACAGTGTAGTCAGATTGTTCATATCTGTATATAGTTGTTTGCAGTTTTGCTGTTGTTTTTCTTAATCCTAGTAATTGCTGTTTATTTTCAGACAAATTTGAACAGTTTTGGGCTATAAACCGGAAACTCATGGAGTATCCTGCAGAAGAGAATGGATTTCGCTACATCCCATTTAGAATATACCAGGTCAGGGAATATATGAATATTATTTTTAATAGAAGTGTTACACTTGGTTACGGGATTGGCTTGTCTTGTACTTTGCCTGTGTCTCAGTTTCTTATAGGGAAACTATCAGTACATGATAGGGCATTCAGACTGTTGACTGTTTAGGCTGAGAGGAAGTGACTTCCTCTTAGCCTAGACAGCCAGCTGTCCATGCCTAAGAAAGGACCAGCGTGTGTGTTTCCCTACTCCTAGACCAGTTACTTTAATTGCTACACTGTACTGGCTCTGAGTTTGAAAATGAAAAATACTAGCTAAATAGAATACTAGTTGTATGTAGTATAAATATTTATTCAGAGGATATTAATATCTTTGAACCTTAGAGGGGGGGAACAACATGGCTAGAGCAGAACTAATCTGGATTGCTTCCTATCCCTTCCTACCTATCCTAAAATCTCATTTGCCATTCAGCTACTTGGAAAATGTGTTACTGAACATGTGGGCTGGATTGACAGTTTATGAATGGCAGAAAAAAAATCTCCCATTTTTGGGAAGAAAGGAGATCCGGATGTTTCCTTGATTTATTTTAAACAATTCCAGGAAAGAAGTACCGGGGAAACATATCCAATTACACGCTCTTAAAAATACAGAGAGAGATAGATGTAGAGGTAGAAATAGAGAAAGGAGGAAAAAGTAATAGAATTTTACTGAATTCTAGAACTGATCTAAGTTGCTTGTCAGTGGGATAGCCTCTAGGGCTGACGCAGTCACCTATGTCTATATTCACATTCATCAACCCCCAATACAAAATCCACAGAGTCAGCTATGTTTGGCTTTTCTTGCTTTCCTCCCAGTTCTTTTTGGGTAGATAAAAAGGCAGTGGGGTTTAAAATGTACTATTCCTTATTGAACTTTCTGTCCAAGAATTAACTGGCATTTAATTGGCTATATAGGTGGGCAGCTGTCAGAGGTTCTTTCGGGTTGATTGAAAGCATTTCTCCTTGCTGGCCATATCCTGCTCCTCTCTCTTTTCATGTGTGGATTATGGTTTGCTGAAGAGTCAGGTGCGTGTTGGGGAAGGAGAGTGTGACAGGGAGCTGCAAAAATAAAGCAATGTAGACAGTTTAGGGAAGAGTCCAGAACTTTGATCATCTTCCAATAATCATTTGAAGGCCTGGGTGCCATCTAAACTATTCTGGACCTCAAGCTATATTTTGGCTCTCAGTTTATATACTGTCTGATACACGTAGTGATAGCTCCTGGCTTATGTAAGTGCAGTTATCCCAACAATTTTTTTTCTAGGCTAATTGTAACATTTTCCTTCAAGAGAAAAAAAGAATCTATATTCTGCTCACAGATATTCATCTGCATATTGATTGTAATACTATGCCCAAATCATTTATATTGTTTTGTAAATGATGCAAACACTTAGGAAAAGAAACAGGCAACTTAAATAAATTATAAAATAAAATCAGTTTGTTGGGTAGTGGGTAGGTTTAAGAGATTCACAATCAGTCTGTGTAGGAGACTCAGTCTAAACAGTTGCCATAATTTCTCCCTCATTCCTGAAATAATGCTGCTCTTGATCATGTAGGAGATTAGGAAAGTTTCATTATTCCTTATGACATATCCTGCCAAATGAAAGGATGTGAGGAAGGCATGGGTTGTTGCCCACATATGATTAGGAAAATTGTCCTTAACTATTTGTGACCGAAATCTTTGTCTATTGTCTAGACAAAATTGTAATAATCCTTACTATATAAAAATAAATAAGTCTAGCTTCATTCCAGATGTGTGTGTAATTCTAATGACTGCCCTTAATTTAACCACAGTCTCTGAGACATTCATATTATTTACCTTAAGTATCACTGACATTGCTTTGATACTGTTATAGACATAATGATAACATTTTACTAAATAACAGACCGTGGCAATTGAAGGTTTCCGTTACGGGTGCACTACATGTGTATTTGTTTCAGATTCCTTTAGGACTGTATAATTATTAACTTTCAACAAGGAGTAGTGCTTCAAAGTTCCTTAGAAGTAACTTTAAAGTATGTATATATAAATAATTACATATACGCACAACAAACTGACATAGTGTATGTAGCAAAGCCTTTATAGGTTATATGAAGCCTGATAATTTCCAATTACTTGTTGTATTGTAGGACAATTAAATTAACCAAGTTGTTACCATAAAATGTGGTGATTACCACCTACTGAGATTTTTTTTAAAGCAGGAGATTATTTAAATTCACAGAGAATAAAGCTACTAATCGTGGTACTATATAAATCTATCTGTTTTGAATGAACAATGTCGTATGAAATCTCTAATGTGGTATTTATAGGATGCAAGAGACTTTAACAGTACAGTTATAAATTTAGTTTTACAATTTTATTTGCTATGATTTTTTATGTCAAATAATTGGTCAGTGTGCCAATAAGAAAATAAACAGTTGAAAACAAAGAATTAACATGATATAAATAGCTGCCAAGTTCAGTTAGCTACTGCTTGGGAATTTAACTTTTTTATATATATCTAAAGGGAGGGGTTTTTGTTTCTTTCTTTCCTTGCCTAGTTATTTTTTCTCCTGACCTTACCTTATATGCCTGCAGTTTTGTTCCACTCTTTCTCTTCCTGAGATTTATACTTCCTCTTTCCCCAACACATCCTTTTGAAATTATTTTGTTGTTTCTGCTGGAATAAGGAGTAAGTAGGAACTATATAGTATGTACAATGTTTTCTGGGTGTGAAGGAGCATTACATACTAGAGAATGGTTATAGATAGGAATGTTGTAAAGGGGATGATTTGTTTATAGGCAAATAATTTTAAGTAGTAATTAATTTAATTTGGAGTTTCTTGACTCTGCCTTTTGGGGAACTATAGCTTCTGGAAGGTAAATGCATATATTACTTTGGAAATATGTAATACAGGCGTATCATTTATTTATTCGATTTTTATTCTACTAAAATCACACAACTCTCAGCTGTTACAATGTTACAGTAAAAACAAACAAGCAAAAAAGTAAGTTTGAAAAAAAAGTAAGAAGAAAAAATAGGGTATTCAAAAAAAAAAAGATTGTTTTTAACATCTTCCTAAAAGCTACAAGTGGGGCAGGTAGTCTGAGCTTAATGGGAGTTGGTTCTATAGCATTTTTGTGCTTCAGAGAAGCAATGCCTTCTGGCTTCAACTCTCCTGGCATCCCAGAAATGTGGGACTGCAAGAATGAAGAAGGGAAAGAGACCTGTAAGTATCCAGGTAGCAAGCTATGAAGGCTTTTTATAGGTTAAAATTGGATCTTTAAATTGCCCTTGAAACAGGATATAATATATCGTATTATAGAGTTACCTGTAATTCTGGAGTCAGTTTTAAAGGCAGACCTATGTGAAGCTCATGGGAGTACTACAAGTAGGCCTCGACTTATGACCACAATTAAGCCTGAAATTTCCATTGCTAAACAAAACAGTTAAGTGAATTTTGCCCCATTTTACAGCCTTTCTTGCCACACCTGCTTAAGTGAATCACTGCAGTTGTTAGTAGCACTGTTGTTAAATGAATCTAGCTTTTCCCCATTGACTTTGCTTATCAGAAAATCACAAAAAGGGGTCACATGACCCCTGGACACTGCAGCTGTCATAAATACACGCCAGTGGCAGGCATCAGAATTTTGACCATGTTACCAATTGGGAATGCTGCAACAGTTGTAATAAGCCATTTTTTTTCCAGTGCCTTTGTAATTTTGAACAGTCGCTAAATGGTTGTAAGTCAAGAACTTGTATATGTGACTGAGTAGTATAGGTGATGAGATACTGTTGCTAGGTCCTCTTGCATTAGGTAAGGATGAAATAGGCAATAGTCAAGCAGGAGCTATAAGCTCTGAAGAATCCCCAATCATGAACCTGTTCCTGCATGCCTAGTGCCTGTTGTCAATGGTACCGAAAGAGAACTCCAATGTAAAAAGAACTGCTTTGCTTGGGTTCTCTTTTGAATCTGTTCTCTGCCATCCAGACCCTCTCAGCTTCCATGCACTGGCATACAATATCAGTAGGATTTCTCCCACAAACCAAGATATCATCAGTATACTGTTGAATTTATTTATTTATGAGACTTATATACTGCTTTAAGTGCAAGCACTCTCTAAGCGGTGTACACCAGTAAGCAATGTATATATATATATATATTTACATTGCCCCCAACAATCTGGGTCCTCATTTTACCTACCCCGGAAGGATGGAAGGCTGAGTCAACCTTGAGCCAGTGAGATTTGAACCGCTGACCTGCTGAACACAGTCAGCTAAAGTACTGCACTCTAACTGCTGCGCCACCTCGGCTCATTTTAATGACCTCCCAGGGGTTTTGTATAGCTTAAAAAGCAGAGGAGCAAGGAATGACTCTTATAGGTGAGGGAATACTAGCTTAACCTCTCTCCCCTGACTAAAACAGAATGAAATTGTGACAAAGGAAGGAATGGAAATCAGTCCCCAACTCCCCAGAGAATTCCATAAGATGTCATGTGCAATAATATTGAAAACTGCTGAGGATAAGGAGAGCTGCACTATCCCGATTTAGATCCTGACATAGATCAGCAAGACAAAAACCAATGCCATCTCGATCCCATATCCAGGAATGAACACAGATTGAAAAGATCCAAGCTTCCTCTAGGGTGTCGCATCATTGAAGGGAAGGGTGGAGACCAAAAGATAATTATCCAAGACCATAAGACAAAGGTCCCCAACCTTTTTGGGCACCAGGGACTGGTTCCGTGTAGAGAGGTTTTCCTGTGGACCAGAGCGTGCATAGTTTTGTGTGCTGCCTGCATCTCGCGGGTGGGGCTTTGCTTGTTTGTGCAGACCGGTTGCTGGCATGCCATGGCCCGGTACTGGTCCACGGACTGGGGCTTGGGGACCCCTGCTTTACACCATCAATATCCATACACTTGTTTGGCATGAGACAAATTTTACAAGAAGTCAGGTGAGGTTGAAAAATATAAACACAATTGTGTTTCGCACTCTTTGTCATCAA